AACATATTTGACCCCTGTGACCTTGAATATGGGTGAAGGTCATTCATTTGAACAAACTTGATAGCCCTTTACCCCAGCATGCTACTGGCTAAATATCATCACCCTGGGCATTTTGGATATTGAGAAGAAATTGTTTAAAGTTTTTAACATATTTGACACCTGTGACCTTGAATATGGGTGAAGGTCATTCATTTGAACAAACTTTGTAGCCCTTCATCTAACCATGCTACTGGCCTAATATCATCACCCTGGGCATTTTGGTTATTCATCAGAAGTTGTTTAAAGCTTTTAACATATTTGACCCCCGTGACCTTGAAAATAGATGAAGGTCATTTATTTGAACAAACTTGGTAGCCCTTCATCCAAGCATGCTTCTGGCCAAATATCATCACCCTAGGCCTTTTGGTTACCGAGAAGAAGTTGTTTAAAGTAACAAGAGGCCCATGGGCCTTAAAGGTCACCTGATATATTTATACAGAGAGTTAATTTTGTTTTTAACAAGTACAGAAATATTATTCAAAGTGACAAAAAACAATAAAACCACCTTATTCAATATCCAGCATACAAATTTAAGACTAAAAAATATTTGAAACTAGCACCTCTGATTCTAAACAAGGAAAATGAAGAAATTTTAGCACACTGACTCTTTTGGGCCCCACCCTACAGCCCTTGGGGGTAGGGCTGGCTCAAAATTTTCGAAGTATCAAACTGTCAACTCAGGGTTATAATTCCAATCAAGTTATTAACATGTAATATTCAAAGTATCATTTGCCATTATAAACCATAATAAATTTTGCGCCCCCCCCCCTCCTTCCCAAGGGGGTAAACGTGAGACCCTAGGGTCATAAACCTTAAGACCCTTCCATCTATGAAAAGCGTTTGATTCTACCATATCTGGATCTTGAGAAGATGATTTTTGAAATTCCAGTCAATTCAACCCTTTTTGGCCCCTCCCACCAGCCCCTGGGGGTCAGTCAGGGCTGATTTGTGCATAGCATCAAACTGCTACCCAATACTGATAATGCTAACCTAAATTGAATTACCTCCAATGGCAATTAAACAAGAGGCCCAGAGGGCTTGTTTCGCTCACCTGAATATGTTTAAAATAATTGGTATGAAGTAGGTGCTGTAAGTACATATGAAATTTCAGAAAGATCCATCCAGTACTTGAGATATAGCGAGAACAAACTTCAAACAGAGCCCCACCCCTATATGCAACTTAGGGGGGGGGGGGGTCATACCCACCAATTATACAAAATTGAGTCCCCTTGGCCCAAGGATGCTCCAGACTAATCCTGTTGGTCGAAGAAGGATTTTAAAGGTTTTTCCACTATTTCTCCTATTGGGCCCCGCCCTTCTGCCCCTTGGGAGACCACACCCAATGCATGCTTATACAAAATGAGTCCCCTTGGCCCATTGATGCTCCAGACAAAATTAGGATAAAATCCCTTAATCTCTATGGTAAAGGAAGGATTTTAAAATCCCTTAATCTCTATGGTAAAAGAAGGATTTTAAAATCCCTTAATCTCTATGGTAAAAGAAGGATTTTAAAGGTTTTACCTATGTTTCCCCTATTGGCCCCATCTCTCTGCCTCCAGAGGGGTCAGACACACCGTTTCTACAAAATTGAGTCCCTTTTGCCTAAGGATGCTCCAGACTAAATTAGGATAATATCCCTTAATCCCTATGGTAGAAGAAGGATTATAAAGGTTTTACCTATGTTTCCCCTATTGGGCCCTGCCCCTAAGGCCCCTGGGGGGCAACACCCACGGTTTATACAAAATTGGTTCCCCTTGTCCCAAGGATGCTTCAGACCAAATATGGAACAAATCCTTTCATTCCTACAGAAGAAGAACGATTTTAAAGAATTTGTTATATTTCCCCTGTTTGGCCACGCCCCTCAGCCCCCAGGGGGGCCAGACCCATGGTTTATACAAAATTGGTTCCCCTTCACCCAAGAATGCTTCAGACCAAATATGGAACAAATCCTTTCATTCTTACAG